TAATAACACCTTCTAGTCTTCTTTATGCTACACATATGATAATAATAATAATAACAACTTTTCCATATTGTTATTCTATGTTCATCATAATTCCTGCAAATTTCAAGTTATTGTGATTTTCCAAATTTTCATAAATAGAGCATCAGTGATTATTTTTTCCAAATTTTCATAAACAGATGACGAAAAACAGAAATTCAACTAACCTTGGAATGGTGGCATCAGAAACGGAGCAACAGCGGAGAAATAAGTAAAGATGCGGTGGCAATGTAAGCGAAGAAACAACGGCTTAAGCGAAGCAACATCGCAAACGGATAAACAAGGACGAAGAAAGAAGAAAACCAACGACAGAGAAAGAAGCAAAGCAACAATGGTTGAAGTGGAAAAACGACAGTCAGGGAGGAGACGACAAGGTGGCGGTGGCTGAAGGTGAAGATTTGTGAATATGATATTGTTCTTTGACTTCTTTCCTTCCTCTGTAATTAGGTTTTCTGTCATTCCTAATTCTATTTTGATTTTATTTTTAATAAACTTGGTCAGAGACTCTTCCTCCCGCACGAGTGAATTTTTTCTAATGTAGTATTTTTTGAATGGTATAAGTAATATAAATAAAAAGAATTATGAGGAATTTTTATAATCAAAATATTAATTATTAGTTTAATCATATAAAAGAAAAGACATAAATACAATTAAATATATTAAAAACAATGAATATAATATAATTAAACTTAAAATAAATAATAATTATAAAAACTAAATTGTATTAAATAATTATATATATATAAAAAAACATAAATATAAAATATTAATTAATTATAGAAAAAAAATAAAAATTTAACAAATACAAAATTGTAGATATAAATACAAAATTTAAAATAATTTACTTATTTATAAAATAAACAATATTCATATAGATTTAATTATATTAACTAATCATATAAAAAAGAAGAAGAAAAATTGTGAGATGGAGAAACAAATTAATATTTTAAAATAAATATATGATTAAAAAAGTATTATGTTGATAGTGGTCCATGAAAAAATATGATATAAATTTTATTTAAATATATGTATGTAAATTTGAAATGAATTATTTAATTATAAAAAATTGTGTCTAAAATAAAAGAAATTGTTAACTAAAACAAAATATATATTTTGATGATAGTGGTCCGTGAAAATAATAGAAATATGACTCAAACATTGTTAAGAAAAAATATTAACAGAATGAAAAAGTTCACAAGAGAATGAAAAAGTTGTTAGAAGATCAAAGGAGATTACTACAAAAGATCAACTTCCAACAAAGCCTGGAGATGAAGTAACAAAAATCTAAGTTTTGATTCGATGGTAGATTGATGAAAAATTACTAAAAAAAACAATGTTTAAAGCTAATTGAAAATTTACACTAAAATAAGATTATAATCATCGTCATAATTGTTAGAGTTGTCTCCAATTAGTTGGATTGCATTTTGCAGAGAAAGGATCAAAATCATATACAAAGAAATTACTTGAACGCTAATCTTTTAGTAAGATCTTTAACCTAATATAATGAAGCATGTCCAATTTTCCAGGAACAACCATAATATATAGAAAGTCTTATACACCGGTTTTTCCATAAATAGTTGCTATAAATGGTCTATCGATTCAAGAATGTTAACTTTTAATTATATAAAGCCTTATTGACTAATTTTCAAGTTAGTAAGAAAACAAATTATGTCCTAATGACTATACAAAGTCTTATACACTGGTTTTTTCATAATTTCAAATGATGTCTTGAGAACTTATGCAGACTTTTATTTTGAGGTTCTTATGACAACTTTGTTAGATATATTGCAGCAGAACCATCTTTTCTTTATTTTTATTAATACACTCAAATTTGACTCATTTACTTGACATGTAAATAGGACATGAGTTGATTTAATAAACATATATTATATTAAATTCATTTCGAAGTGGTTTGAAATCAGTATGGAGGAGTTTTACAATATTTACATTGTAATAGATTATTAGATTGTTATATTATTTTTATTTCAATATGATAATATTTACCATTTTTAGAAAGCTCTTCATGACAGAAAAAGCAATTGATTGTAAAATAACAAATTTATATTTTTTATACTTAAGGAACTGATAACACTTAACATTCAAGACTAAAAAGTGCATCAAACATTCATGCTAATAATGTCATATTTACATAATATATAATGGAAGTTCACTTGGCAAAAAGTAAAATTGTCATTAGTTATTTATTGAATTAATAATCTTTTATAAAAAGTGTCTAACTACAGCAGATTCAACATAAAATAACATGTATGGACATAGTATAGAATTGTGAAAGCATACCTCTGATAAGAAAGTTTGAAAGCATCCAAATATAGAATTAAGTGTGATTCTGAAGCATCCAAATCATTTCACATTACAATGCTTTTTAACTTCATATCATTCGACCTCCACAACCACACATTACATGAATGAAGTATATAAATTAGTTCATTATTATAATAATTAAAGATGCAAAGTAACTTGAAAATGTAGAGTTAACAAAACCAACTCATAAACATAGTTTATATCTTCAAATTTCTTTTACTTTCTTACAATTAATTAATTTCAAGACACAATAAAGAAGAATTTTCATAAAATAATCTAACCTAATAAAAAGTTAGGTGAAATACGACATTAATTGCACATTCATCTAAGCTCTAGCACCACAATACTTTGGATTAATAACTTAAGATAGTTTTAAGCCTTTATCATAATCAGTCAATCCTTCACATGGGTCTACCTCCTTTAAGATAGTGTCAAGTTACACAAAAATTCTCAAAGTAGCTAATTCAGGAGAAAAGGAATAGAAGCAACACAACTCTTAGGTTGGTTGATTGTTTCTAATCAGATACAAATGGGCTAGTATGTAAATTATATTTGTCTTTTCTATCTCTACTTTAAGTATGACATAAAAATGTGTAAAAGTATAACAATATTGTTATTTCATATATAAATACAACAATATATACCTCTAAACTCCAAACAAAGATAGACTGGAAAATACAATGTATCTGTGCCTCGCCGGATAACTCAGATGTAGACATCTCCTCATTCTTTCCCTCAATCATGAAGGAGAATGCTATTTCAGAAATAAATAACATGGATGAATTAGGAAAGGTAAAGATATGTGTATACCAGTTAACAAATATAAAAGAAATGGAAAAAATGAGTTCATAAATGGAAAAGCAGATAAAGAAAATAACCAGATTATAGGATAGATACATTCACAATATTTTGAAAGAATATTTAGGAGAAGAGTATCCTGACCAGCCTATTGAGGATTAATGATTAAATAGTACAGATAAAATGAGACAAAAATCAAACCAAAGTATCTTCAGCAAAAATCTCCAAAATTTTCATTAACAAATTTTGACAAAAACATTAATAATTTTTTTCAAAAATGAAGTACAAAAATCCCATAAAAATAATAACCTTTAACCGAGATAAAACAATTTGAAATCGTTCACATAATGAATAATAACCAATTCACAAGCTGCGTTTTGAACATAATCATCAATATTATAACATCGTAGTATAAAAAAATCAAAACTAAAGCAAAAAGAAGAAAGAATTCGGTTGGGACATTTAACCAAACACCTTGTGAGTGAGGACAGGGGAAAATACCCTGTCAAAATTAAGTTTATATCATGAGTATTTCAATCAACATAAACCACATCTCCATAATGTGTTTTCTCAATATCTATAAAAGAACAGAGTTAACATAACCAAACAATAAATATAAAGGATGAGATCTTTGAGAATTTGAAATAAATGTAATAAGTTGTACTCACATTATTGCCCTTTGATCACAGTTGGATCCATATTTTGGAATGACTTCAAACTTAGACTTTTGAGAGTTCTGGTTTGCATACAAACCATTGGCAATAATACGTTGAGAGTTGGGCAGCCATTACCGTCTAGCAACTGATGTGCGTTGAGGATTAAGTATGAGTGAAAGAAAAAGGAAGTAACCAAAAGGGTGTTCTTAGTTCGAACAAATCAGAACCAAATCAACCATAATTGAACAGAAAGGAACAAAATAACATTTTACATCACAGTGAAATTGAACGAATTTCTACGTGCTATATATGAGTCAATTTTCAAGAATGAGGTTATAGTAGAAGAAAAAATAATCGTATCTAATTTATGACATAGAAAGTTACCTTAAGAAAATCATAATAACTAAATGGTAGGCCTGAAAAGTTACCTTAAAATTCATTGATAACAAAAATTAATGATAAGAGGGAGAATATGTATATGAACTCACCTTCTCCAGGAAACACTCTCAATGGATAGAGTATTGCAAACACAATGTACCTAATCATCAAAAGATAAAGAAGCAAGCGTACAAAATAACTTGTTAACCTCATATCTCCACCACTTTAGAGAATATAGAATGGTAAGATGGTAAAATGCCTGATATAGGTGATCCTAGAAGGACAATTTGCCAAATAGCTTAAAGCATAATGCGAATATCTAATGACTTGCATATCAAAAGATTGAAGAAAAATCACATTCAAAGTTGTGTTATAAAATCCTACTATAACACAATTTTCATGGATTGCAAACATAACATACCATGAGTTTGGTATAAAAAAAAACAGAGAAAATGCTACAATACAGAACATGAACTAAACACCTGATGTTGTTTTAAAATCTACATAAGCACATAAATTGTAAGATAAACTCATATCAAATCATATACAATATGAACTCGAAAAGCTAAAATAACTAGAACTTTTAAGCTAGAATATTAACAAATTAGTTTCATAAGCTATAACAGAAAACACACTATTTTCTATAAAGAAATTGCATACAAAATTAGGTTTCAAAAGGAAAATAGAATTCACTGAAATTCCATCAGAATATACCGTCAGAATCAGGATCATAAGGAAGCGAAACCAGTTTGTGAAGTAGAGAAAAGGAAAATCAAAACGAAGGATAATGAGTGATAACAAACCCTAAAATTAAAAATCAGAAGAGCTCATATGTAGTTTCAATGGATGGAAAACGAATGCAGAAAATCTTATCCTTGAGTTCCTCATCAGCAAAATCCCTATAATGCAAACTCGAGATTTCTCATTCCTGGCAAGTTCTTGCACAGACATAATAGGTATAACTGCAACAATACAATATATAATCAATCAGAAAAAATATTTCTTAAAATTAAAATAAACAATGCATGTGTTTTAGATCTATATAGTAGAAAAAACAAAATGTAGATTAAAATAGAAATAACCTTCAGATCTATTTTGGGTGTTAGGGTTTGATCTTTTTCTGGACGAATAGAGTAGAGGCGAACATGGTTGATGAGTAAATGTAAGAGACGAAGGGAGATTGAATGGGAGAGATGAACGTGGTTGCGATGGAAGTCGTGAAAATTATGGATTTGAGAGATAGGGTTGAACGTGAGAGAATAAGGGAGCGGAGGCTACAGAGAAGTAGAAAAATGAATAAGGGAGTTGCCTAATGCGAGAAATATTAAAATATTAATGTCTAATAATAGTGCAACACATGTTGCCTGATGTGAGAAAAGCTTTTATTATATGAGGGTGAATTTGTTAATTACGAAAATAGGAAAACTGATGTGTAGAAATAATTTAGAGAAATGACAGTTTAGGTAGTTTTGCAATCTTTGAATAAAGGTTTGATAGTAGAAGACACATATAAGTATCTTAACCACTTAAAAATATCTTACGAATGAGAATAAGAGAAAGTCACTCTAACGTTCCCGCGTGAACGTTAGAGAATCCGTTCCCCAACATAGCATCCTCTAATCACATATCAACAACATAAAGTTGAGTATAAGACTCATTTAAAATTTCTACATATTAAATTTCTACATATTGATGTTCTTTAAGAGTCATAATCCTCACTTTACTCTCTATCTTCTCTTGTGCACTTTGCAATAGATGGATCAATCCTCATCACACTCATTTAATCCCCTTAATTTGCAATACCTTCAGCGCTATTTACCTTGACGAAATATTATAATCATATGAAGCTTTTTCTAAAAACCACCACAAGATGTCAAGTCGTTAACCCTCTAGATTCATTTTGTATTGATCCGCAATAAAGAATCTCATTAAAGAGTTCCGCTATCTCCTTTGTAAAATCTTCAGCTACGTGTATATAATTATAGTTGTACTAAATCTCTTATCCCTCTCTTACTCCCATATTAGAGTTGTATAAGGGATATGTTTCAAAGAAATGAATTGAGAATAAACATTGTAGATGTACAAGTTCATTTAGCCTAATGCGCCGCGAGTTAAACAAAATTGCTCATGCCTAGACGCAAAACCACCTCTATAAATAATGCAGAATTTATTGTGAAACCTGTTGGAATATTCCTAATTTAAAAAAAAAATGAATTGGATTCTTAATTTCTATTAACTGTAGCGGTCCAATTCATCAATGTTAGGCTCTTTGGTGGTGATGGCTCTAGCCTCTTGGTAAATCTTTATTTATCAGTCTTCATCGATGCTACTAAGTATAAAGATTTTACATTCCAAATAACATAAATTCCAATTCATCAAAGCGATTTAGATATTGCTAGCTTAAGGAAATACGGAGATGAACTGTGAACAACAATTTAACAACAATTACAGATGTATTAAGATTCAACAAACTGAAATTAATTCAACAAGTCATTACATATGACTAATTACTCATACTAATTATTCTAACAAGAATAACAACATTTAACCTAACCCCCGAAACCGTAAAGGGTCCTGCCCTGCCTCTTGAGTGCGTAAACAACATCCATAGCAGTGACTGTCTTGCGGCGAGCGTGTTCGGTGTAAGTGACAGCATCACGGATAACATTCTCAAGAAAGATCTTGAGAACACCGCGAGTCTCTTCATAGATCAATCCACTTATACGCTTCACACCACCACGCCTTGCAAGACGACGAATAGCAGGTTTGGTGATTCCTTGGATATTATCTCTAAGAACTTTGCGGTGACGCTTTGCTCCGCCCTTTCCCAAACCCTTTCCTCCCTTACCTCTTCCAGACATGACGAAATGATTGCAAGATTATGATGCTTTGTTAGCTGATTGAAATTGTCGGAGCTAAATTGAAATGTGTTACGTTGAATGTGTGGCAAGTGTTTTTATAGTGGATTTGAGATAATAAATGCTTTGCCGTTGGATTAGATGGTTATCCGTGCGGAAGACCTACTCGGTGATATGAACCGTTGGATGAGAAATGATTGCGAAAAATAAGCGTCACGCGGATCGCCAGGGTGGATTTTTATTTTCGGATTGGCGCTAAGTAATTTTCATTTGATGGGAGATTGTTTTTTGATTTTTGAAGGCCAATGTCTATCATTTATATGACCACTTAAGGATTTTCTTCAAAATTGAACATTGTTTGCATCCTTTTTTTTAAAGTAAATTTACTCTTTTTCTTCAAAAGTTTTAGCATACGTTTTGGAGCATCATAATTCATTTTGAATTTGTAAAATTGATTACGACAAATTTGGTTGGTTTTGAGTATAATTAATTTTGTGTTAAAAAATTGGCTTTATTTTAAATTTAAGATTTCTTAGATGTAATTTAAATTCTATATTTAATTAGTATTTGAGTTTTATTTGGTTAGTATTTACATTTCGGTCTTAGTAGATAAATTTATTGATAGTTTCATTTATAAAATTTAATTTTTACAATTTTGGAAGAGAAATTTAGTCATAGTTTTTCTCTCTTTCTCTCTCTCTCTGTAATTCTTTCATCTTCATCTTCTTCATCTTGTGCATCAATAGAGGTGTGAACTCCAATAAATTGGTATCGATAGCTTTGATTCTAGTTTAGGGAAACATGAAGTGTACGTGAGGTGTGTGATTGATTTCGTTTCTTAAATTCACACTGAATTGAAGATCAAAATCAAAGAGAATCATATTTCTTGATCATGCGGGATTGGGAAACACGAGTGTGGTGAGAATTGAGTGATTTACACAATATAGAAGATGAACGAAGGAAATGGTAGTTTGAACATAAAACTTCGAGTATTCAACGAAAAGAATTGGAATTGATGGTCGATTCATATGTGTGTGTTGTTTGGCACTCGAGATGTTTTTGATCTCGTTAATGACGATTACACGGCGGTTGTCAGGAATTGGTCATGACGGGCATAGATGCTCGAAACTAGCAGTTATAATGAGCATAGAGGTGCTCACGGGCAAATATGATTCTGGCCATTCCTGGATGGTTGTCCTCGTGCGGCTGGCAGGATGAGGACTAGCCTGTTTGAGCGGGCAGATATGGTCTTGTTGATCTTGGGGGTCAACCGACCACGACTCCTCGACTGAGGGGCAGAGGCGTTGTCACAGACAAACATGTTGTGGTAGATCTTGGATGATTACTCTATGTGTGACGAGGATAATGAGAAGTAGTTGTTGGCGCAGACAGAGGTGCAGTTGAAGGCATCAGTGGTCTTGTTGGTCCTGGGGGACAATAAACCATGTGTCCCTAGATGAAGGGCAGAAGGGAAAAGGTGTTCTTTACATGTCCCAATTGATTGGGCCAAAGCTATTGGGCCATCTTGGATATAAGAGTGGATTGGGCCATGCCTAGGAATTGGGCCAGACCATAACAAGAGCCCTCAAAGTCGTTGCTTCTAGGATAGGAGTGACGACTTAGAGCCAATCCGTGCGCCGAGGAGGAAAGTGCACTGTTGGCACTTGTTGTTTGCGACAGGGACATTTCATGATTTTTACGAGGACATGCGCGTACGTGATGTGTTGTTATTTATTATATTTATGCGTGTTTGTATGCTCGTCCACTTGGGATGTCTATTTTATCACTTTTGCTAAGTGTTTAAATGTTGTTCGTTATGAATGTTGTTGTCTTGAGTTGCTCTATAAATAATTGTTGATAAGTGTTTAGGGTTTGCTGAACAGTATCAGAGTTTGAAAGTGAGGGGAACTAGTCGAACGAATAGGGTTATTTTCTGAGCAAAGGGAGGAACTCAGGCCCCGTTTGTGACCTGAGTTCTCCAGCGTGAACTTCCCATTGCGAGTTGGGTGTTCTACCATCGTGGTATGATGGCGACGGCGGGACTCGGTTAAGGGTCCTCCATCAGACAGATGATCTTCTCATTCAAGAGTAGAGGTATGTCTTGCTTTAATTTTGGAATGCAATGCTTGTACCTGGGCACACATTTTAGTCGATACACATTGTGCTCGTTGTTCGGTAGAGCACGTCAACTGTTATGGCATTAGCTGTAATATTATTTCAACTTTTCAGCGTTTCATGTTCAAGCAAGTTCTTTCTCATGTGGCTTTTTGAGATAGTATGCCCCATTTCCATTTTTTTCTTGGACGCGATAGTATATCTTGGATGACAGACTTGTTCTGCCTTTCTCCTTTGTGCTCACGAGCTTTGACAGGATGTGTGCTCGGGTGTTGTGTTTGCATGGAACATATGTCTGCTCGACTGGTGTGTTTGCAGGGAACGTATGCCTGCTTAGCTGTTATGTTCGCGGGGAACATATATCTGTTTGACTGGTGTGTTCGCGGGGAAAATAATGCATGCTTGGTTGGTGTGTTCGCGAGGAGCATATGTCTGCTCGACTAGTGTGTTTGCAAAAATGGTCTGTATGCGCTCTGCTTGTTGAGGAGGCTGGTAAGGTTATTTCTACTGCGATGTTCAGGTTATTGCCGAGGAGGATAACCTTGAATTCTATGTATGGAATGGGGAGCAGATGATTGACAGGATCCGCACTGTCAGTTGATATAGAGGAGATGGCTTCTCGATCTTCCCTTTGGTTTATTGGCCACTGGGGAGAGCTGGTTTCTCCGAGGAGGGTGTGATCATGTTTTTTGATGGCTAAGAGACGAGCTCTTTCTTGCTCCCAGCAGTGATCATGTTGTTGGGAGACATGTTGTGTGATCTTTATTGTTGGTGCCTCCGCGGGGGAGACTTTGATTGGTGAGCATTTTCCAACGCCATAATCCTCTCATTCTATTGGCGGGTTAGGGAGTTGGTCTGGTTGAGAGCTACAAGCAGGGCTACTGTGATACGGTGGGAGAACTGACTTGGGTATTTTGCGTTTGATCGCAAATGTTGCAGTTATCAAGAATCGCCACCGACTTTTCTTTTATCCAAAAGGAAAGGTGAAAAAGCACAGGAAATACCTTTGAGATTGTTTCTTGGGTTCGGGGGGGTAGATTATAAAAAGGGAAGGTATTAGCACCCTTTTTATCCATGGTTTTCCATGGGCTCTTAGTTACTTGCTAGATCACTTGCTTTTGTTTGAAATTGTGCTTTGTGTGGTTTTTGAAAGTATTTTGTAAAGAGGTCATTGTTTAGGCAATCTTTGTAATGATTCTCGTTCGTAAGAATGTATACAAAGATGTTGATCTTTTGAAAATGTTTTCAATTTTGTAAGATGTTTGAAAGTGTAGGTGTTTGTTTTGAAAATATCAAGGATGTTTGTTTGAAATTGAGCAAGTAATTAGAAACATTCTACCTACTCAAAAGTCTTTCTTGTTCATTTTCTTTTCCTTTGACATTGTTGTCTTACCATTGATTTGGTAAACAACCCTATCTTTGTATGTAAACGGGACAGGCGCGGGTCATCGTATAACCATGATAGCAATGTTGTGAGATGACTTAACATTTTTTCTTTAGGGACTGAGATCATTTCGAAAGGCAACTTTGATAGCGTCATTGAGGGACTATGATCTTATATTTTTGTTTGTGCTAAGACATCCCACATGCGTAACATAGCCATTTTTTAGGCAACAAGTGGAGTTAACCCTAAGGGTGCATGTGTGAATAGTGTGTTTGATTTGCATGCATTTAATCTTTGATTAGGGTTATCTACTTGTTGATTTCATCTTGCCATACACACCCTAGTTACTGACATTTTTATTTGAAAGCGTTAAATTACGGAAAATAAAGTCCTACGCTATTACATCATTTGGGGGATGAGGAT